TGGAGGTGGAGGTAGTGGGGGATACTCTGGATGCTGCAGTGGGGGCTCCTCAAGCTATGGCATGGGAGGACGCTACAGCGGTGGATCCAGTTGGGGATCTGGCCAGAAGATCATTATCAGCTCAGGTGGTGGAGGAGGAAGCTCATCTGGATGCTACAGCGGAGGATACAGTGGCGGTTTCTCAGGCCAGACAATCGTCAGCTCTGGAGGCGGCAGAGGAGGGTCCTACCAGTCCTCGCAGCAGAAATGTCCTATTGTTTTTCCTCACATTGTGTCCCATCAGACCAAGCAGGTCTGCCACTGGCCCTCCCACTACCACAAGTAAGAGCCACAGGCAGCCTTGGCATTCAGCAAGATCAGCCCTGACTCTGCCATGTTGCCTTAATACCTCCAGACCTGGCTCTGTTTGCCTGTTCCTTTCCATGTCCTCTCGTCTTCTCTTCTCTTGATGATGTATCCCTGTGCTGTGAAGTCCAGGATTAACAGCCTGGTGCCTTCCTGCTGGTGTTACAATGCCTTTGATATTGTTCAGCTGCTTTTCCAAAGAGCACATTTTATATCTAATAAATGTAATAGTATCTCAACAGTGTCTTTGGGGGAAGTTTCTTTTTTCTTATGTCATTGGAAGCTAGAGAAGACATTTCACTCATCTCTCTAAAGAACATGGAATATAATCATAGAATAGTTAGGGTTGGAAAGGACTTTAAAATCATATAGTTCCAACCCCCCTGACATGGGCAGGGACACGATGGGTTCAATAGGGCGTTGCTGTTGATGCAGCTCTAAAGCCACCCAGTTTATAGCCCTGGAAAGTTTCCCCCTTCATTATCCCCCTGGGCTCCATGACAGTGTAACAGCACAGCCTAGAATGTCAAACGACCACAGCATCCAACATCCCTTTGGCACCTGGGCATGGCAAAGCTCCATCCCAGCTCATGGCTCTATGTTCTCTGAGGTACCAGCGCCCAATGACCAATGAAGTGCTGCTGGGAGACATGACTGAGGGTCAGTCCTGAAAAACAGGGACCAGGACTGACCCTCAATAGCAGTTCTTGCTGCCTGGGGTGATTAATAACACCAAGCCAATGTTCATGTCCCTACCATATTTCCCTTCCCTTGAGCCTTGCAAACCTCAGAACATTTCTACCCAGAAGACAAGTCTAAACACACTGGGTCAGCCAAATCAGCCCTAGGCCAAGCAAAAAGAAACAGAACCAGCAGCAAGTCCCTCAGGCAGCTCAACACACTTGAAATCATGCCTCCAGGCCATAAATCCCTCCTTGCCCAAGCTTTTGAAATCTGCCTTGAAATGCCACAGGCAGCACCTCCATGCATAGCTTTCTGCCTGGTAGATGTGGCCTAGATGTGGCCTTTTGCCAGTGCTGGGACTCATTGTCCCCACAGCAGAGCTGAAAAGACCGAGTCCAGCCCAAAAGCCATGCTGTGGGCCCAAGCTGGAGCACACCAGGCTGCGGTGAAAACATCATGCAAGTCAGCACTACCAGTGTGGCCACAGCATACATCTCCTGCAGCCCTCCAGAGCAGTCTGCCTGATGCTCAGTGCTCTTTACAAGACAGAGGAAGGACATAGAATACAAAAATGAGGAAGGAAAGCATTTGGAGGCATAATCCTGCATTAGAGTAATCCAGCCATGGTGGGTTTCAGTGTTAGGACATTTACACCTCCACAATTCTCCCCAGGGCCTCTAAGCTTTCTCAGAGTATCTCTAACACCCTTGCAAAGTTCTGATGAGCTTTTGGTTTGAACGCAAATGTCTTCCTCAGAAAATCTCCCACTGAAGCCATCAGTGAGATGCTGGAGGGATCCACGTGCTGTGTTGCACCACCAGATGCCTTCTGAGCATTTGCCTTCCCCTCTCATGGGTACATGCTGATCACTATCTTAAGCGATGCCCTGAGTACTGCTATCACTGCTGAACAAGCCTCGCTGCCATTTACTGAGTAGGACCTGATCACCACCATCCTAT